ATTTAAAGTTATTGACTTCAGATATCTAAAGAGAATCAATTTTCATTCAGCTATAAATACCCATTACTCTTTTCATTACAATAATTAATATTAATTGTTTTTCTTCAATAATATTTACTATATGATTACTTGAAATCAAAAGCCAATTTATTCAATTTAGAAATTTTATTTAAAGTGCATTTTTTATATTTGCAATAATATGGAAGTGTCCAAATATTTTTGAACAGTAATACATACATAGTAAGCTCAAGTTGCCAGAAGGAAATTTTTTTGAAATAAGAGATGCTGTATATATGAATAAGTTATAAGAAGGTCAATAATGACTGTGTATAATAGAATGTAAAGAAATAAACTATCACAATTAGCCACTTTTTATTTGAAATCAAAATAATAAATAATTCATGGAGAAAATAATTCATGAATATATCTAGTATATAAATTCATGAATATATTTAGTATTTAAATTTTAAAAAAGAAGAATAAATGCGATTAAGTTTCAATATCTTATTTGAGAAAGGAACTTAGAAAATTATTTCTAAGTGATAATTTCAAGTAATAATAGTTATTTTTCGTATCAAGTAATAATAATAATAATTATTTTCAAGTAATAATAGTTATTTCAAATAGTAATATAAAATGAAAAATAATATATTAATAAATAATAATATAAAAAAATATATGTTCATATAGATATAATAAACATATTAATTATTATTATATATTTACATTTAAATATGATTTAAAATCTGAAATGGATCAATATTCTGCTGTTTTCGATATATTGGTATGATAATATTATTTATTGTTAATTTTTTTTTACTACAATATTAATAAAATATACCATTTAATACGAATTTCCATAAATTCATTTTAAATAATTCATTTCTGTCTTGTAATGCAACTTATCACTTTTTCTAATTATGCGTATGTATTACGTAAATCATCAGCGTTTATATCGTCCTTGCACGTACTATAGCAGTATTACATGCAAAATAATGCAACTAGAGTAGTTTCAGAATACAAATATTGTTGTAGAAAGAAACATTTTTGTTATATCGTCGGAAGTTATGATTTTGAAGTGGAAGTTTCGTGCTATGACAGAAAAAGAATTCTTTTCTAGTAATATTAAATAATAAATCTAAATTTCTAATAAAATAATAAATAATTTAAAAAGTTTATTTTTTCAGAACAAATAATAAATAAAATAAAAATTCTATTTGAATAACTATTACTTGAATAAAAATTTATTTTCTAAATAAGAATATACTCAATTTTGCTATATAAATACATATGTTGTATGTGTACCTGTATATGATAATGTATATATTTTTAGCTAATAAACTATTTTTATCTTTTTACTATTTTCGTAATTGTCGGCAAAATATTATTTTCTAAATGAACGTCAGATACAGTATGTCTGTTTTAAGTATTTATATTTGATTGTTTCTGTAAGTGTACGAAATACGAAAAAATATTTCAGATGAAACGATATTGATGATAATTATGATGATAATTGTTTGACAGTGAGTTAATGTTGAAGAAGGTTATGTTTCTAACAGGTTATGTTTAAAACAGAATTCTACATTTTTATTGCATATTTATATAGTTAATGTCGAAATGTATTCGAAATATTACATATCATCCATTTACCAATTATAAGAATATGCAATAAAAAAATGTAATGTTCCACTTAAATGTCTGTTTAATTTAAACTTGGTCTTTACAGAACACTTCTTATTTGAAACACTTTTTCGTATTTCTAATACTTAGAGAAATAATCACGTGTAAACATCTAAGATAAATATACTGTATTATGTGACTTTTAATTAATGTCAGACATCTATAAGTTTTTAGAAGGCTTTATATAAGCTAACAAAATGTTATGTAACTACGCTAAAAAAAAGTGATATGCATACACAATGTTATCTAATAAAAAATTAATGCTCATTTAATGTGGATGATAAAATATTAAAGTAGTATAAATTGGCATGAATATATATACTATCTAACAGTCGCTACGATTTTTCAAATACTTTTAACCATTATAAAAAAACGATGTTTAGATCAGATGTCAAGGCGACATTGAAATTTTTTAAATAGCACTATATATTTTTGACTTCATATTGTTGCAGTGGACATCAAGACGAATTCAATGATCTATTACACTGTGATCTTAACATGATCTTGATTCTCGAAATTTCGTTGTTACTATGAAAACTTGTTTTAATTTTATCAAATCACATCAAAATAATCACCTTCCATAGTAGTATTTTTTTTAAAGTTTAAGGTTACCTTGAGATTTTTTCAAAAAAATTTTTTGGGAATTTTTTATATCGCAGATTGTAGCCAACTAAAATTTTTATTCTAAATAGCTTTTTTTACAATGATCGGAAATGTCAGAAAAATCGTTAGGTACACAAGAAAATATCTAGATAATTAAAAATTATTATAAATCAAACATATTTTCTGCTTTATAGTATAAGCGTGTCGCAGTAACGACCAACTTTATAGCAAATCTATGCGCATTATATTATATGTATATGTACATAGTATATAGTATACATTATGATTTATAATTACCTACACAAACGAAGGGCACTATTTTAACCCATTTCGGCACTGGCGGCAAATAACTTAAATCTGTTGGATCGTATCCTTTGAACTTCCTTGATATGGCATATCTCTGTAATCGTACTGCTAACAGAAGACCAAGATTCATAATTAAAAGAAAATGTGCAGGTATACCAATAGCTGCAAAAATAACAGTTACTGTTCGACCAATTGTTGTCCGTGGAACTGGAGCACCGAAACCTACGAATTAAAGAAAGTAAAAGCGAATTAAGAACTAGCGGAGGTTATGTATAATTACGTTTGTGGTTATGTATACGAATTAAGAACTAGCGGAGGTTATGTATAATTACGGTTATGTGTAATTACTCTTATATATAATTACGTTGTTTAAGGACGTAGAAAAAGATAGAAATAATTATCTAGGCCGACTTTAATGATCTTGAAATATGTTGTAAAAATTCTGAATAATATCTAAATATCCTGAATAATTTTTCTTGATACAAGTATGTTACGGCTGGTCAATTTTAATTTCCGAGAGTTATACGAAAAAACCTTCGGTGAAATTTTCCAAAACATGTTATCTTCAAATCGATTGAAATTTTGGAGATGATTTTATCTTACATAGAAATAATATTTACAAGAAGAATTTTTGGCGACTCGAGCAATTAAAGCCGGAAATGAAAGTTTGAAATGGGCCAATCGGTTTCAATATAGTCTAAATCAAACACAGTCTATATATAATCAGCCATGCTGATTGGTTTCTGTAATCTAAGTCTAACTAGAATATTCAATTTAAAAAAAGCAATTTTCTTTTTAGCTCTCAGAAGAACTATCGCCATTTTGAAATAATTCACAAAAATTAATGACTCTTAATGAATAAATTGTCTGCGGGGCCCAAGAAAGAAAGTATGAAGATTTATTGAAGTTATTCAAATATTCTCAGGACAGAGTTGCACTATTTTAAGGGATCCATTGACCGGCGGAAAGATATTTTTTCAAAGTCATTTTCTTTATAAAATTATAAGATTATGATTATTTTCGAACATCTCGTTACAAATCCAAGAATCATCGAAGTCGGTGAAGTTCGCCTTTTAAAAAGTTACAAAACAGATATTTATAAATATCTCGGAAACTAAGGCTGGACGGCGGTAACATGTATAAAGAAAAGATTGTTCAGCATAACCTTGACCTTTCAAGTTCATTAAAATCGGCAAGGAGTTCTTGTTTCTAGATAATTATCAAACAGTACAATAGTACAAAGTGTATAGACTGAAATCTTTCGCCGATATTTCGATATATCGATATGTAGATATATCTTTTTTTATACATTTATCACACTAATTAAAATATATAAAAAAAGATTAGAATTAATTAGAATCTAAATCTAAATTACCAAGAGTAGTCAGAAGCGACAGGGCAAATAAGATGCAACCAGGGAACGTCCACAGTTGTCCACTGTTTCCATTTTCGCCATATCCAGAATTAACCGCCATCAATAATAGCTCTTCATGTTTTTCTACATATTGGTGCACTTTGTTACTCCAAAGTGGTTCTACGTCTTCTTCTTTCTCTGTGCGCAACTGTCTTAATTCTGTCGCTAAACCAACCGCTAAATCCCTCTGCATATCTTTTAATTTTACAACTTGCTCACGTTCTCGTGGTCCTTCTATTGCACAAAAAGCCAGTGCACCGACAATGGCCCATATGGTAAGTAACCATAGTAATCCTGCAATATATAAATCATATATGTTAAATAAAAATGATGAAAGTAAATTATGAAAATTATTTGCCAATATGCAAATTATTTCATTCGATAAATCTTTTTGAGGTTTTGTATAAATATACATACAATTATGATCATTATATTTTCTTAATAGCAATTAATAAGTTATGAACAAAGAAGAAGATGTCGATTTATTTTTACCGAACAACGAAAGTGATAATCTTCCTAGAAATCTAATATGCCTCCATACTTTAGAAAATCCTTTTGCGTTTGATGAATCTACATTTTTCTCTTCGACAATATCTCTAACGGATGGTAAAACCCTGAGTCGCAATGGTAGCCCAACTATCGTTTGAATAGCAATTGATTTTGTTGATTTTTCAGTATTTGTGGTCGTTTTGTTTCGTGGAGAAATTTCTTCCGATACTGTTGTAGACGTATCTAAGAATAACAGATTAAATTATTACTATACTTTCAAAGTATAGCAATATACTATATTTCTGAAATATTTAATTTCATTCTATGAGTATGTTTAGAAATGATTTCCTCGCTTTGGAATCATTGTACAATTATTGCTCGTATAAATGATGACAAAAAAGTGAAAAAGTGAATAAAAAGGAAATATTATATATTTATTTATTTTTGTTATTTATTTTATATGATTTCAACAGATTCTTTTCTTTTGTTACGCTAAAGTTACAAGTTACAACATGAGACCTAACATTGTCTCTAATAATGACAAGTTTAATAATATGCATATTATTAAAAGTGTGTGTGAAAGATTTCTTAATTTGTTAAATAATTTGCTAGTATATTTCCATAACTTATGTTACAATATATTACAGTATATACTACTTGGTATAAATTTTCTTAGATTTAACTTTCAATTTTAAAGACTACAGTATGTTGGCCTACATTCGGTTTTTCCTTACGTATTGATTCCGAGTTCTGATTATTCGCGTTATTATTAATGAAACTAGGAATAGAGCATATAACCATCAACTCTATGCTTCCGTATATGCTATGTAGTATTATTTTAGAATGTTATATAGCCTTGATAGTAAAGGAACATGTGTCACTAATTATAGAAAAATTTAAAAAATATTTTAGAATAATGGACAAACTTGTTCAACCGGAATTTCAGTTGTCGTACATTTTATTTTTCCTTAATTTTATTATTTTGTTTAGTATATTGGTGCTATTTTGCATTTATACGTCTACTTAATTTTTATTACAAATAACTTGTATTGAAGTTAACTATATCTCTCAATTTTTAAACTTTTTAACAGATAAATTAAATAATTATATTTATATAACGTAAAAGTATAAAATTTTGCGTAATAAAACTATAAAAAGGAATAGAAAATTATTAATAAGAATTGATATTCATTAAAATCCAATTTTAATATCAAATGTATCTGTTATTAATTAATTAATCGACATGTAATTGAATTAGATTAGTTATAATTAAATATGTCAAATTAATTAGGATTATATTTATATATAAAACAATAAAAATAGAGAAAACAAGAAAAAGAAAAACAAAGACAGTCGTCAGATAGACAGACAAAGGACTCTGTGTGGTCCTAACAATATTTGATATCATCAAAAACTGTTTGCAAATTAGATATATTTTTATGTTTTAACACATATTGTATATTGATATATCTCTATTAGATTAGGTTCCAAAAATAAACACGACCGTAATACACAATAAAACCATAAAAAGTTTAAATATTAATATTAGACCCATATTTTAATACTGCAAATTATTTACTCTTAAAACAGAATATTTATTAATAATATTTACTTGAACATTATTGCTATTGGATAGTTTTGAAATGTCCGTTTGGTCTGTCAGTGTCGGAATTTAAATAAAAATGTGAATATCTTTAACATGTTACTATATATATCACAACTTGATAAAAAAAAAACTAGAAAATTTGATAAAAATTCGTCATACCAATTTGCAAAGACTACATCGTTATCGTCTTCAGTTTCGTCGTGCCTCTGCTGTTCTGTCATTGTTATGTGAAATTTGGTAACACGATGCTCGATTTGGTCCTTCGATTTAGGATGTACTAAGTTCCTATTAGTAGAATGTCGTATTCTGTGGATTTTGACCGCTCTGTGCATTTTCTTTCCCACATGTTGTTCACGCGTGCATGTAACAGCGGATAGTGAAACAGGCGTCAACCTTGCAACGTCTATAACATCACTAACAGGCGTCGCAACACCCCCAAGGACTGGTGGTGCTGGGAAAAGGGGTACGTCCATCGACAAAGGTCAGGGTCCCTCTGATTACGAATTACGTTGCTATCATCAATAGTGATTACTTTCTTTAACTTATTCTTCGTTCCAAAGTAACGTTAATATTTTCGTTTTTTATACATATGTATGTACAATCATTGGTGCTCTAGTCGTTTTGTAATTTAACGAAAAGAATATGGGTAAAATAAATAAATAGATAAATGGTACAAATAATAGCGTTTCACTTTTAATAGATTTAAATTTGGCAATTACAATATATAGATCTTCTGAATATTTTCGAATTTTCTATTTTGATTAATTCTTGAAATGAAATTATTAAAACGAATGGATTTCACATTAAATTGTTGTGATTATAGAATCTTCTTGAAATCCACGTAAAAAAACTGATATTATAAAGTAATTATCCCTTTTTATTTATCGTATCATCTTACTAATGAGTGCAATATAAGAAAATTTTATAATCCATTTTACGATCTATAGTTGCAGCAACATCTGAAATGACAAAAATAAATTTATTTTAAAATGTAAATAATAATCTTTTTGATTTTACTTAAAGCAAAATCAGTTTTCCAACATACTTTGATAGAAAAATGAATATATATAACTGTATATTTTTATACATGTCACTTACATCAATAACTTTCTATAAAAATATATTCTTTTTTATGAAGAAAGGTTGCTTGACTCATTAAAACTGATTGAAGAATGCTTAATTAATTAAAAATTTTACTTAACCATCACGCTTTGTAAAAGTTTTTTAATTTTACAAATGGCAAATGAAACAACGAATTAAATGTAATAGTCATAAAATAAAAAAAAGGATAACAAAATTAAGCTCATCCTATTTATTTAATAATAAAAAAGTCTATCATTGAAATATTATATGGATAGTTGTCGTATATAAAATTACAAAAATGAATCTTTGTGTTCAATAGCCAATAATGTAGTTGGAATTATAGACAGTTTTTGAAAGCTGAACTTTTAATATTATTTAAAATATACGCATATGCACACCAGTAGATAGTAATAGATTCGAACACAAATA